GCATGTTATCATCGGAAAAGCTTCATCTTCATCTTAACCTATAGCTTTTGTTAGTGGATGTATTAATGGATTGATACAACTGACAAAAATTTCTTTAACTTTACATAAATATATTATGACGGTGGTGGGTTGGCTTTTCTTGAGCTTTACACGATATAAGGCTTGCTTTACAACAAAGAGAGAATGAAAAAGAATATATTATGACGGTGGTGGTTCCCCTTATATAATCCACATTTTATGATTTTATTGAGATTCATCTTTCAGCGCCTAAGCATTTTACCAAAGCAGATGGGAATCTCAGTTAAAGTGGGTCAAAAACTTTGTGGATCATAATCTTTAAAGCAGTCAAAGCTGAATATATAATAAACCTATCCTAAACCACCTATCCTAAACCCTATGTGGAAAATTAGTTCAACAATGACGCCCACCTTTCAAGCTCTAGAGTTTAAAAAATAACAAAAATCGAAGCGTGTAACCCATAGGGTTTCGTTTCCAAGTACCCTACATTTTTTGAAGGAATCGGAACCGACGATTCCTAAAATTTGGAACCAGAACAAGAACCGACATTCCGATTCCTAGGTACCCAGAACCAGAACTGTAACAACGATTCCGATTCCAGTTCTGGGTATCCTGTAAAATTACATGACCCTCAAAAGTTTTTAAAATGGCAAAAAAAACCCTTAAAAACTTACAAATACCCCCCATCTGGCACTTGTTAACAAAAATAAATTACAAATTATAAATTCAAAATTACTAACTCCATTACTTTATAAAGGTAGATTCTCAAAAGGCAAACAAACTTACTTTAATGTTATGAAATAAAATATAAATGTATTCACATTACTTTTTCTACAAAGTTTTTATTACCCCCCTTATCTTTAATTTTATTTTATATTAGTCTCGGTTCTGGTTCCTGGTTCTGGTTCTGGTTCCAAACTATAGGAACCGGAACCGCACAGTAACGTTCCAAAAATTTGGAACCGAACCTACCCATTGACGACTGGTTCTGAGTAGGAACCGGAACCAAACTCAGGGTACCCGCCGGTTCCGGTTCCAACGGTTCTTTTGAACACCCCTGTAACCCACCAGAATCTTTGTCGTGTTGAAAGAGTTGCGTTAATAGCGATGGCAATACACATTTCCTATGTCAATAGGAGATAAAAGGGTCCGTTTTGGTTCACTCTCGGTAGTATTCCCAATAAAGTTAAATTTCCCAAAATTTATTCTATATTATTCAATTTTTTTTTTTGCCTAAAATTAAAATTGAAAACAACCCAACCATTCTAATAAAAAATCTCTTAAATCTAGCTACCTCTTCACTTCTCTTCTACACATATCTCCGAAACCCAAGCAAAATTAAACCAGAAAACCTAAAGATCTCCAAAATCTAGACAACCAACAACAATCAAAATGGTGAGGCACAAATCGGTTAGGATGGTGATGGATGTAAACAATGGGGTTGGAATAAGGTGAGGTGAATATATGAGGGGTGACCAAAATGGTGAGGGTGGGGTGGGGGAGATCAGGGTGGACGTGGGAGGTAACAGCGAGGGAAAAGGGTGGTGAAGAAAAAGAGATAATGGAGGTGCTTTATCTTTAATTCTACAGTAAGGGTAGAATTGTAATTTTGGGATTTCAAATTTGGTTCAAAATCGGGTACTTGCTTGAATCGAACCGAACTACAAATTCGGTTTGGTTCAAAACCAGATAAGCTACAAACCAATTTGAATTCGGTTCAGCTTATAGCTTGAATCGAATTTCCATTTCGGTTAAAAAAAAACCGAACCGGTTCGGGCACTCGATTTTGAGCAGCCCTAGATGAGCCCACATATTTCTTTTAATAGAGAATGAAATTTTCCCCTCGAAAGTTTGGCCTAAAGACACTTTCTCACTAGAAAAGTTTCAAAACAACACTTTCTCACTCATTGTTAGGATTTGTTAGTAAAATTCGTTAACTGACATGGTATAAATAGTGTAAAGATGAAAATACACTCTCTCTCTTCTTCTTTCCTCTTCGCCACCTCTCTTTTCTTTTTCTTAACCTTTCTTATTTCTTCTTCTTCTTTCTTTTTCTCTTCCTTCTCTTTTCTGCCCCTTCCCTTCTCCAATACCCTATATGCCTAAACTTTGGTGGCCCGATCTGGCATGAAGAGAGAAATTAAAGTCCTCAATTCAAGATTTTGATTAATTAAAGTCTACTTCGGTTTTTTTTCCGAATTGGGAGGTTCTTGCAATCATCTCGCTGGAGACATCGTCTAAGTTTTTGGATGGTGGACAGTTTGTATTTTTTTTTTTTTTTTCAACCAAAGAAAATTCTAAGGCTAGATTTTTGGGGGTTTTGCGTTTATGAATCTCACACTGTTTAAATGAAATATGCCAAAAAGATTTTGCCGTCAATGGCCGTTCTTTCAACCAATTTTGACGAAATATCTAGAGAAAGAAGAAGAATCTCTAATAAAGAAGCTTCCGCCAAGGAGCTCATGAGAACCAACTTCTACGTGTACGAGGTGCTTTTCATAGAGAACAACGTTGCTTTGTTCATTGAAGGTGTGAACAAATGTCAAGGATTCAACAAACCTCCTTTAGAGTTAAGGTGCGTATTTGTGATAATGACGCTAACATTGCCGTTAAAACTCCTTAGCCAACTTGTCATAAGAGGTCTTTAGGTGTGTTGGATAGGACTTAATGGCTTTTACTTCCAATAAGCCAATCAAAGTCTCCATAGATATCATGAATGAGAATTGTATCGTGCCTTTCGTGGAGTACGACACACCCTGGCGCAAGGCAGTGGATGCCTTAGAGAAGAAGTCGCTTTCGTGTACATCTACGACGGTGTACAACATGGGCAAGTACTTAAAAGAATGGGCAATGTACCATTCAAGAATTGGAGTGGTAAAGTTTGGCTAGATAGGGTCTTCGAGAAAGGAAGGGGGAGAGAAAGAGAAGGAAGAGAAAAAGAGAGAAGGAGAAAGAAGAAGAAAAGGGAAGGTATTTTCGTCTTCACACTATTTATACCATGTTAGTTAGCCAATTTTACTAACAGATCTTAATTATGAGTGAGAAAGTGTCTTTTTGAAACTTTCAAGTGGGAAAGTATCTTTAGGCCTAACCTGGGGTGGGAAAATGCCATTCTTCCTTCCTTTTAACTGATTGGGCCTACCATATGTGTAAAGTTGGAGATAGGGTTGTCAGACGAGCCAATTAGTTCATGAGCTGGCTCAACCCAGCTTATCTGAAGCTCGTTTTATGGCTCGGCTTGAACTTAATCGAGTCACCTCAGCTCTAGCTCACTATTAAAAGGAGTCGAGTTCGATTAAGAGGAGGCCCAACTCGATAGGCTCGCGAGCCTGAGGTGGCTTGCATAAGTAAGGTTACTTTTGTGAGTTTTATAAACTTTGGGGGACTGAAGTGTTATCTTCAATTTTAAAAATTTGTAAAAACTATATTTAACCCCCCAATGTAATTAGTTGTAAAACAGGAAGTTAAACCCCCAAATCAAACTTCCCAAATTGAAATACACTTACCTTAAATCGTGAAATCTATAAATCCCTCAATCGTGAAATCTATAAATCCCTCAATCGTAAAATCTCGCCACATTTTTCTGTTCTTCTTGCCGTCGAAGACACCGCAGACGTTAATGCCAATCGATTGACAACATTCATGAGTGCTTCACGCTGCAGACTTTCAAGCTAACACCGATCGAATTTAGCCATGAAACCACCTCTTCAATTTTTAGTGCTTTAGTCCACGAAATCTACAAAAGAGGTGAGAAATAACTTTCCCACTACTAGTTATGAAGCTGCATCTACTATCTTACCTACTCTAAGAGGCTAGTTCAATATGCTAAAAATGAGGGAACTTATTGCCCATTGTGTGCTTATGTATGAGCATCCATTTACAGTTGTGGAGGAAGAGGGATTGAACAACATGATGAAGTATGTGATTCCTTAATGGAGTTTGATTTCATGTAATACCTGCAAAAATGATTGTGTGAAGGTATACGAAAATGAGAAGCAGAAGTTGAAGACACTGTTGAAGAGTGTTAGAAAGATCAATTCGACCACAAATCTATGGAAATCAGGCAATCAGAAGATGGAGTATATAATGTTGATTGGGCATTGGATCAATGATAATTGGAAGTTGAATAGACAAGTCCTCAATTTTGTTCATTTTCCTCCTCCTCGTAACAGTGTCGACATTTCTGATGCCATTTACAAGTGCCTGATTGATTGGAAAATTGAAAGTACGGTCCACACGATCTCAATGGACTATGCTACAAGCAATGATGTTGCAATTAAAGTCCTCAGGGAAAATTTCCAAGTTACGGGGAAGCTCATTTGTAGGGGCAAATTGTTTCATGCGAGATGTTGTACACACATCTTGAACCTGGTTGTTCAAGATTGTCTTTATCAAATCAGACATATCATTGACGACATCTATGATAAAGTGTCATATATCAATGCCTCAAAGAGTCAACTTAAGGTTTTTCCAAAGATTATTCAACAGCTTTGATTGCCATTTTGAAAGTTTATTCTTCATTGTAAAACATGGTGGAATTTAACATACGAAATGTTGGCAACGACAATTAAGTTCAAACATGTTTTTCCAAGATTGAAAGAAAGGGATCTAAGTTATCATTATTGTCCCCAAGAAGATGATTGGGAGAAAGTACATAAAGTTTGTGAAATTTTAAAATTTTTTAGTGGTGCGATTAATCTCATTTCATGGAGTGATTATACAACAACCAATTTATTTCTAAAGCAAGTTTGTCTAATTAAAATTATGTTAAGATAAAAAGAGTGAATACTATAAGACTTACCAACATGCATGCCTCTCCATCAATTATATGGATGATGAATATTATTAGAATCGTTATTGTAACACAAATGATATTTATATCTTGTATTTTTGATACGTAATTAGAGTATGCCAAAAAAACCAAAAAACTTCAGTTATCATTGCGAAGGAGTAGGTGAAAGCTCAAAAAAGTAAGGCATTGTTTGAGAGTTCGAAAATAAAAAATTATTGAATTGGAATTGGAAATTCAGTTCCGTGACTCAAGGCAATTATAGAACATTCAAGGAAGTTGCGCTGATAACTACTGAATGACAGTTAAAAATCGGAGCATCATTGCAAACGACCAGCAAATTCACAAGTGAACTTTGAGCTGTGCGTTGGATTCAAGTGGTTCATTTTGCATCAACAGATAGAAATTAATTTCCAGCTTCCTCATCAGCAAGACACCATGTCTGATGGAGGCACACTACTGTCTGATATCCCCACCACCACGCTTACCAGAGCTCAAAGGCGATGGCGCAAGGCCTATTTGACAATCTATTCTACCCGGATGATGCTTTCTCTCATATCCAAAAGTCGACAAGAATCGGAGAAAAGTCCTCCTCGTTACCCTGTCCTTGAGATTCAACCTACCGTTTCTCAAAACCAGGTTGTGCTCAACTCCTTTGATCCCTTTGTTTATAAAACAACACTAAGAATGTTGGAGAACAAAGACTTGAAGCATCTGCATGTTCTTGGCGGAGTTGAAGGTGTGGCCACCGCTCTAGGAGTAAGTTCCGACAATGGAATCGGCGGCAGCAAGGATGATATTACTAGGAGGTCTCAAATTTTTGGTACTAACTCTTACCATAAGCCACCTCCAAAAGGCTTTCGCTATTTCCTGATTGGTGCTTTTAAAAACACCGCCATATTTATTCTCCTAGTATGGGCAGCCCTGGCTCTTGCTTTTGGAATTAAACAACATGGGGTGGAAGAAGGTTGGTATGAAGGTGTAAGTATTATTGTTGCTGTCCTTTTGATGGTTGCTCTCTCTGCGGTCAGCAACTTGATAGAGGAAACTCAAAGTAACGAACGCAAAGAGTTGAGTATCAATATCAAAGTTGAAGTTGTTAGAGATGCTCGGCACCAACAAGTCTCCTTATTTGACCTTGTAGTTGGAGATGTTGTGCTCCTGAGAACTGGTGATCAGATTCCAGCTGATGGGCTGTTTTTGAAAGGGTATCGTTTGGAGGTCGACGAGTCAAGCATGACAGGAGAGAATGACTTTGTCGAAGTCAACTCCAACCATAATCCTTTTCTGTTATCTGGCACAAAAGTAGTAGATGGCTATGGTCAGATGCTCGTGGTGTCTGTCGGAATGAACACTACATGGGGTCGAATGATGAGTTCGATAGCAGATGATCAATCCAATGAAAAAACTCAATTACAAGCTCGGCTTGACAAACTAATTTGCTCCATTGAAAAATTAGGATTCTCATTGGCTTTCCTGGTTCTTGCATATCTACTTTTTAACTACTTCACTGGGAAAACAAAAGATAAGAATGGAAATAAGGAGTATAATGGTAGTAAAACAGATTTAGATGCTATTTTCAAATCTGTTGCACACATTCTTACGGCCACGGTTGCCACTCTGGTAGCGGCAATTCTATCAGGCTTACCAGTGGCAGTAACTCTCACACTTGCTTATTCCATGAAGAGAATGATGGCTGATCAAGCAATGGTAAAGAAACTTTCGGGTTACGAAAAAATGAGCTCAGCCACAGTTGTTTGTACTGAAAAAACAGGCATTTTGACATTAAAACAAATGAAAGTGACTGAGTTTTGGCTTGGCCAAGAATCCATTAAGAAAGATTCTCGTGATATGGTTGCCTCAAATGTTCGTGAACTATTCTACCAAGCAGTTGGCTTGAACACAACTGGTGGTGTTTACAAACCTGTTTCAGGATCTGTACCTGAATTTTCTGGCAGTCCAACAGAGAAAGCAATTCTTTCGTGGGCTACCCAAGAATTGGGTATGAACATGGAAAAAGTGAAGCAAAAGTACACCATTCTCCAGGTTGAAACCTTCAACTCTGATAAAAAACGCAGTGGGGTTTCAATTAGGAAAACAGATGATAACACAATTCATGTACACTGGAAAGGAGCTGCTGAGATGATCCTAGCTATGTGTTCACAATATTATGAGAATAATGGGGTAACAAAGACCATAGATGAAGATGAAAGGCAAAAAACAGAAAATATGATCGACAGCATGGCAGCTAAAGGCCTTAGATGCATAGCTTTTGCTCATAAAAAAATATTTAAAGAAGAAATGCAGTACAATGAAGATGGAAACACCCATCAAACACTGAGAGAAGATGACTTAACCTTGCTGGGAATAGTTACCCTAAAGGATCCATGTCGACCAGGTGAAAAGACAGATGTGGAAATTTGCAAATCAGCAGGACTGGGCATCAAAATGATCACAGGGGACAATGTTTTCACAGCAAAAGCTATAGCCAGAGAATGTGGAATACTACAGTACAAGGCCCAAGCGAAAAATGATGAGGAGGTGGTAGAAGGCAAACAATTTCGTAACTATACACCGGAAGACAGAATGGAAAAGGTTGATAAGATCCGGGTAATGGCAAGGTCTTCTCCCTTCGACAAACTTTTAATGGTAAAGTGTTTGAAAGAGAAAGGCCATGTGGTTGTAGTCACTGGAGAAGACAACAACGATGCCCCTGCACTAAAAAAAGCTGATATAGGACTTTGGATGGGTATTCAGGGCTGCGAAATTGCTAAAGAAAGCTCAGACATCGTCATATTAGATGATAAATTCACTACAGTGGCTACTACTCTAAAGTGGGGACGATGTTTTAATAATAACATCAAAACGTTTATCCAATTTCAACTCACCTTTAATATTGCCGCTCTAGTGATCAATGTTGTTGCAGGCTTTGTTCCTGGTAATAAGATTCCTCTAACAGCAGTTCAATTGGTATGGGTGAACATCATCTTGGATACACTTGTAGCTTTGGCTCTGGCTACTGAAAGACCAACTGATGAGCTAATGAAGAACCCTCCTCAAGGTCATACTGAACCCATTATAACAAACATTATGTGGAGGAATCTTCTATATCAAGCCCTATATCAGATAGCAGTCTTATTGATCTTACAATTTGTGGGCGAATCCATATTCAAAGTGAGTCCTGAAGTGAATGGTACAATGGTGTTCAATACTTTTTTTCTTTGCCAGGTTTTCAGTTTCTTCAATGCAAGGAAGTTGGAGAAAACGAATGTTTTCAGAGGCATTCACAAGAACAAATTGTACCTTGGACTAATGGGAGTAGCTATACTTGTTCAGTTTCTGAAAGTGGAGATCCTAAACAAGTTTGCTTCTAAAGAGAGATTGAATTGGAGGCAATGGTTAACTTGTAATGCATTGGGAGCATTCACATTGCCAATTGGTTTTATTGTGAAGTTCATACATGTTCCAGAGAAACCAGTACTCCTCATCAACTCCGATGGTGAATTGAATATCGGTTTTATAAAATACATCAAACTAATATTCTGTCTTGTAAAGTTGTTGTTTCTAAATGACTGTGATACTAAGTAGTCAACATGTATTGATATAGCAGTGTTTTGAAGTAATGTATCCTAATGTAGTTATGTGCTTACTACTGTATTGGGGCCTTAAAGCACTTTGAAGGCCCATTTTCTTTTGTGGGCTGGAATTATGTTCAACTCACAAAAGCCTTGTTCTATGTATTTGGTCCTATTATTAGACACGGTTTTTGAGTCATGCTTTCGATATATTTTGGAACCGACAAATTTCTTTCGGAGCAGCTGCTCGGAAACAATTAGCCGATTTAGATTTGCAAATGATTCTAGATTATTCGTTGGTAGAATGTATTCCTCTTTGGGTTTGGGATTGTATTCACGCCACTTTTTCAAGTTTCATCCTATAGTTTGATTGAACTTATTTGATCAGCATGATTCTGGCTTTCTTTCTTTTTTTTTGATATCTCTTTGCTTGACATTCAACTGTTTCAGATGATTGAGTTGAAAAGGGGATTTTAACTAGAAGATTTTGTATATTATGTGCTTAATGTACTTTATACAGCGTGATTATCTATTTTATTATTCAATTCTTTTGGGATTGGATCTATAAAAAATTTCTTGGTCAAGAATGGAATTGGATATGATTTTTCCCATTTTAGTAAGTGATTTGACATTTTTATTATGATTTGAGATTTGAGCTGGACATGCTGTTAGAATCTGTGAGCTCAACTGCTAAGCGTGCAGAAGAATTTTTGACTCTCATCAATGAAAATAAAATCAATCTGGAGGCCCCCTTCCATATAAAGGATTACTTTAATGGTTTGTAATATATCTGATTTCGGAATTACAATTTATTTCCCTTTGCCTAAGATTGATTTTCTTTTCTTAATCTCTCCCTGATTTCTGCGGTATTGCAGCTCTAAATTTAAGGTGTGTTGAGCGTTTGTATGGTGATCATGGTCTTGATATGATGGGCATATTGCGCAAAAATCCAGCTCTTGCACTACCAAAGTTTAACTCGTCTGAAGCAGTAGCAAGATGAATGGACTCGGTGTCGTTCAGATTTTAACGAAGTTTGGGCTGAAATATATGCTGAAAACCGTTACAAATCACTTGATCATCGCAGTTTCTACTTAAAGCAACAAGATTCAAAGAACTTGAGCACAAAATGTAGGTTGAATTTTATAGCCAAGTTAAAGGTTCTTTTTGGTATTATGTGCTTATTCAAATATTTGCTTATACTGTTGAGTGAATTTTCTGATGTAATGCTTCACATTGTGCGGTTCAAAAATATTTCAGAGCATGGAAATATTATTATGCTGCCATGCATCGCTTTTGTGTGAAAACTCTCAATTTGAGCAACCAGATAATGATGTGATTATTGCTAATTTGTGATAGAATTACTCTGTGCCTTTCTTCTTCCTGGTTTCATAACCATAAACTGTTCAAAGTTGCTTTTTTTGAAAATCTCTGTCATGGATCCTATACTGTTGACAATATTCACTTCCCTTGGTTATGGTATGTTGCTTCATTTTTGTCAGCTTGCTTGTCAACATTTTCAACAATGGTGACATTTAATTATGATGAGGCAAACATCTATGTTTGATCAGCTTTGTTTGCGACTTACATTGTATGTTTAGAGGATAATGTCACACTGCATGAGGTTATGTGACAATTGTGCTGGAAGTATTGTTGCTTCTAGTCATTGCATTTATATGGGGTTATATCTATTAAGATTTCAGAGCAAGAAATGTTGATAGTGGTCTCTGGTTCTGACACTCATATTTGCCTTTTCCCTGGTTAACTATTATAAGATAAGTGACAATTGATTCAAAAGAGTTTTTGTGTGTATATACTTAATTAGAAGCTATAATTTCAGCTTGAATTTTATAGTGTCCACTTCAGATGCTTTTTATAAAAATAAATTTTCTGTTATGTTTTAAGTTTCTGTCTGTAGTGTTTATGCAATATTTATTGACATGTAACAGTTTCTGACTGAGAAGCATTGAAGAATGGTTCTATAACATTTAGAGCTGGCTTTAATGGAGTCTTAAGTGTCTGAAATATAGTTTACAGAGGATGCCTAGAGTTGCTTCTACGTATTGTTTCCACTTTGCTCTTTTTCTCAAAGTCCTTATTTATTTTGCAGCTTTGGTGGCTGAAATTAAGGAGTTGAAAGAGAATAAACTGGCAGAGGAAAATGTTCTTTTTGCTATTGCTGCTGGACACATATGGATACTCTGACCTCAGCATTCATGAAGATTTATATAAACTTGTTCAATATTCATATTCATGTGAAGAGATGTGCTTGACCAAGGAACGGGTGAATAAGGCAATGAAGCTATGGACTACCTTCTTCAACAAACTGAAAAAGAGCTAAGCTAACAACCCCAGAAGAGACTGTGTTGATAAACCTTACTTCTTTATCCATGAATGGCTCATCTTTCAAATCAAGCTTGGATTTAAACCCCAGAAGAGATGATGATGATGATGATCAAAGAAAGAGCAAGGTAGATGACTACAAGATCAAGTTGCCAATGCCATCATTTAGAAGATTGTTCGCGTTGAATGTACCAGAACGGAAGCAAGCAAGCTTGGGGTGTTTAAGTGCAATCTTCTTCGGTGCTGTGCAACCTTTTTATTCCTTTATCATTGGGTCTACGGTAAATGTTTCTTTCTTAAAAGATCACTGATCAGATTAAAGAGAAAACGACAAAGCTTTATGCTTGGTGTTTGATTGGGTTAGCAGTGTTCACTTCATTGGTTAATTTATGCCAACATTAGAATTTTGCTTACATGGGTGAACGCTTAACCAAGAGGATCAGAGAGAGGATGCTTTCAAAGATACTCACTTTTGAAGTTGGATGGTTTGATAAAGATGAAACATCTGGTGGGGCTATTTGCTCCCGACTAGCAAAAGATGCAAATGTGGTACGTACTAATTTAAAGTTTTAAAACTAAATATGTTATAAGAGTAGTAAGATTAATTTAACACTGAATATGGAAATTTATTTGATTTGTTGCAGGGGAGATCTTTAATGGGTAATAGTATGTCTCTCCTTGTACTAACTGTGTCCGCTGTATCCATGGCTTTCGCTTTGGGATTAGTCCTTGCATGGAGGCTTGCTTTAGTGTTAAGGAAAAGCACATGGTGTTGATTACTTACATTAATTATTGTCAATTATATATTTTTTTAGTGGATGGCTAACCAGAAATGAGTAATTTAAGGGAGGATTAGACAAAAGTATCAAGCAGTAATAGAGATTATTTTCCTTAATATTAACTAATTTAATCCAGAAATTGATATATTAATGAATCCATGAGGATTCGGGAATCACAAATTCACGTTCTATAATCAAGAATATCCGAAGGTGATCAACGTGGGTGGTTAAATTAGAAGAAACTAATTAAACAATCATTGAGCTCTCCTTGGAAGTGGAACATGTTCAATTAATGTAAAATCACACAGACCTCTGAATCTTTGACCAGTCCATATGCATGCTGAACTGTAATATCATTTTGTAAGCCATAGCAGAAGACTTGTTTGTTTTGGTTTAATTTTGTGTGAAAATGGGAGGAGAAAGAGAAAGCAGCGAGGTGAAGAGGAAGAAGGGGTCTGTACTGTCCATTTTCAAGCATGCAGACGGTGTGGATATGTTGTTGATGGCTCTGGGATTCATCGGAGCTGTTTGTGATGGCTTCACTGGACCTTTAGTGGTGTTTGTAATGGGTGAAGTTATGAACAATTTTGGCACTGCATCAACTGATAACAATGAGTTGTTCATCCATAACATTAACAAGGTTTCATCATACTTATTGTTTAGTAATTTCTTTATTTCTTTATTTCTTTGGGACCTGCAAACATAAAACACTAACTGGATTTTCATATTGTGGTGGCAGAATTCAGTGTATATGTTGTACATAGCTTGTGGGGGATGGCTTGCTGGTTTCCTAGGTGGGTTCCAAAATTTTTATCATTTATTTCTTTAATTTATCAATACATACTTTGTTTTTCTTTCATAGATTGATGGTAGTTTCCATACGTTAATTAACTTTTGGGAAATGGTAGAGGGATATTGTTGGACAAGAACAGGTGAAAGGAAAGCCACAAGAACGAGAGCTAAATATTTGAAAAGCAGTATTAAGGCAAGATGTTGAATACTTCGATTTGCATGTCACCAGCACTGCAGCAGTCATCACTAGCGTCTCTAATGATACTCTTGTCATTCAAGATGTTATAAGTGAAAAGGTTTTCATCATCAATCTCATACTTAATGTATGAAAGAACTATTTGAAATATGTGACGAATTAACTCTCTGAATCTGTGACAGCTTCCAAACTTTTTGGTCAATGCTGCAACATTTATCGGAAGCTATGTGGTAGCATTCTTGATGTCATGGAGGTTAACCATTGTTATATTTCCCACTGCTCTGCTTCTGGTAATTCCTGGAATGATTTGTGGAAGAGCTGTGATGAATTTAGCAAGGAAGATGGCAGAAGAGTACAACAAGGCTGGGACAATTGCGGAACAGGCAATCTCTTCTATAACAACTGTTTATTCATTTGTTGGTGAAACCAAAACCATCAACGAGTTCTCTTCGGCCCTTGAAAGCTTTGTCAATTTGTGGGTAAAGCAGGCTTGGCTAAAGGCTGGGCTGTTGGAAGCAACAACATCGTTTATGCTATTTGGTCTTCCATAGCTTATTACAGCAGTAGAATGGTCATGTACCATGGTGCTAAGGGAGGAACCGTCTATGCTGTGGCCTCTGCCATTGTCGTTGGTGGCTGGTAAGTATTACCTTTTGACTTAACAGAAAATACAAAAATACAATTGAAAAAACATCACACACACACACACACACACATATATATATATATATATAGATGTATGAAAAAAATATTTTTGTTGTTGATCAGGGCGTTGGGACCTGGTTTATCTCACTTAAAGTCCATATCAGAAGCAATGTCCGCAGGAGAACGTATAATGGAGGTAATAAAAAGAATTCCCAAGATTGATTCGGACAACATGGAAGGTCAAGTTCTGGAGAATGTTTCAGGTGAAGTTGAGTTTAGACACGTAGAATTTGCATACCCGTCAAGGCCTGAAAGCATAATCTTCAAAGATCTTAACATAAAAGTTCCAGCAGGAAAGACAGTAGCCTTAGTGGGAGGCAGTGGCTCAGGGAAATCCACAGTAATTTCACTATTACAAAGGTTTTATGACCCACTTAGAGGTGAAATTCTTCTTGATGGAGTTGTTATTAATAAAATACAACTGAAATGATTCAGGTCAAAAATGGGTTTGGTGAGCCAAGAGCCTGCACTATTTACAACAACAATTAAAGAAAACATACTTTTTGGCAAAGAAGATGCCACAATGGAAGAGGTTATTGAAGCTGACAAAGCTTCAAATGCTCATAATTTCATCTCTCAGTTGCCTCAGCAATATGAAACTAAGGTTAGTTTTGATTGTCGCCCACTTAATGAATTAGCCCACCATCTAAGACTTTAAAATTAATAGTACATTTCTTGAATCTTGATATGCAAAATAGTTGAATAAAAGTAAAAAATGTTGAGCTCTTGTGCTTAAGTTATCATCATATGAACAGGTGGGAGAGAGAGGAGTTCAAATGTCTGGTGGGCAAAAACAAAGAATTGCTATTGCACGAGCAATAATCAAAGCACCTAGAATCCTTCTTTTGGATGAGGCAACAAGTGCCCTCGACTCTGAATCTGAGCGTGTGGTCCAAGAAGCCTTAGACAACGCCTCTGTTGGACGCACCACTATCATCATAGCTCACCGTCTCTCCACCATCCGCTACGCCGACATGATTGCCATCATGCAAGACGGCCATGTCATGGAAACAGGTTCACATGACGAGCTTTTGCAAGATGAAAACGGTCTTTATACGTCCCTTGTTCGTCTACAACAAACTGAAAAAGAACAAACAAAAACCCAAGAATAGATGATGATGACAAATCTCAATTCTTCACCCATGAATGGCTCATCTTCCACATCAAGCTTGGATGTTAACATTAGAAGAGAAGATGATGATGAAAAAAGAAAAGGCAATCGAGAAGATTACAAGAACAAGGTGCCTGTGCCATCATTTAGAAGATTGTTAGCTTTGAATCTACCTGAATGGAAGCAGGCAAGCTTGGGGTGTTTA